ACAGGCCTCCTGCTCACGTCAAGACAAAGGGGTCCCGGCCCCTTCAAGGAGTGTGTTCTTGGGGAGTGAGGCCTGTAACCAGCCCGGCTTGCTATCACTGCTTCTGGCTCATGCCAGCAGTCAGTCAGTGGGCAAGCGCAGGCGGGGGCTGACTCGCCTCACCTGTGGAGGGCTGTAGCTGCTGACGGTGGGGGTGCTGGTGCTGGCGCTGGCGCCAGGGATGCTGCTGCTCTTGCTGTAGCTGCTGGCCCCAGGGAGGCTCCGCACAGGGCTGTAGCTAGGTGGTGGCGGTGGTTGCTGTGGTGGGGGCTGTGGTGGTGGGGGCTGCTGTGGCGGCGGCTGCTGCTGGGGGGTCCGGTTGTAGCTGCCTCGGTTGTTGGAATTGTTGTTATCCCGGTTGTTGTTACCCCAGCGGTTCTGGTTGTAGCCACCTCCCCCGCTGCGGTTGAACCCTGTTATGGAGAGATTCAGGAGGTCCCATGATGCTCATCCAGCTGGTTCTCAGGAACCAGGATGTCTCGGTGACTGCTGTGTCCCCCAGCTCAGCCCTAACAAATGGGACACTTGTCACAAGCAGCCTGCAGGCATCCCTGAGGCTTGGGCCGGACAATGGCAGCACCTATCTGCTGCTAGTGCCGTCACCCTACTAGAAGGGGTGTCTGCTGAGGATGGCCACTTTATGACAGCCTTAGCATCTCAATGGGCACTGAGCAAATGAGAAAGCCTGCCTGGACCGACAGATGCCACTCACCAGGGGCAGACCCTCAGGCTTAGCCAAAGGGCCCAGGCAGCTGCTCCTCTGGCCCTGGCTTGTCATCACCTGTAACTCAGGCCCTAAACCCTGCAGTCCCGTGCCCCAGACCTTTCCTGTCTGCTTGGAATTTGCAGAGGGAGCTCTGTGCTGTGACCGTGTCCCCAGAAGGGTCTGGAAGAGAGCGGGTGGGCTCAACGTATGCTTGCTCCACCAAGGAACTCCCTCAGAGACCTGGGAATGAGGACGGAGACACGGGCTCCAGCTCTGGGCTAGACTGGTGGATCCTGCACACGGTGCCTCAGCCAACTTCCCTGTATTGTGAGAACTACAGACTATCTTACCACCTGCCTGGTGCCAGCCGGGGCGCAGGATGGCAGGAAACCACACCTGGGCCTTTCTGACAACAGCAGTGGCAATGTGACAAAGTAGGTGGCATGCCAATGGGCGGTGGGATGTCCCTCACGTGCGTGTTCTACTTCAACCTATTTATCAAGTGACACGAAAAGCCTCCAATTTTTTGAGTGGGGCCCAGAAGAAGGAAAGGTTCTTCAACAGGTTCAGGCTGCCGTGCAAACTGCTTTGCCACTGGGACCATGTGATCCTGCTGGCCCGATGGTGCTAGAGGTGTCAGTTGTAGATAAAGATGCAGTGTGGAGTCTTTGGCAGACCCCTATTGGTGAATCACAGCATAGACCGTTGGCATTTTGGAGTAAAGTCCTGCCATCCTCTGCAGACAACTACTCCCCCTTTGAAACAGCTGTTGGCCTGTTACTGGGCCTTGGTGGAGACTGAACGCCTCACCATGGGCCACCAAGTCACCATGTGGCCTGAACTACCCATCATGACCTGGGTTATTGTCTGACCCGCAGAATCATAAAGTTGGACGTGCACAACACTCTGTTGTTAAATGGAAATGGTATGTACGAGATCAGGCCAAAGCAGGGCCTGAAGGGACAAGTAAGCTGCATGAAGTGGCCCAAATGCCCAGTCTCCACTACTGCCCGTGGTGGAGAACACTTACCTCCTCGGTAGTTGCCGCCTCCGCCACCACCTCCACCTCGGTTCTGAAAGCCTCCTCGGTTGGCCCCGGGGGGCCCTCTGTTGTCATAGCGCTGGAAACCACCACCACCTCCTCGGCCCCGGAAGCCACCTCCGCGGTTGTCGAATCGCTTCTCAGGGGGCGGCCCCGCCTTGCGGCCTTCCTCGTTGTACTGCCGCACCAGCTTGTCTGCCTCCTCCCGCTGCAGCTCAATGAACAGCACCTCGTCCAGGAAGTCCCCCGCATCGGGCAGCGTGAAGTTGGCTAAGAGGAGGCGAGAAAGAACGGGTGCTACGTGTTTACAACCCTTAGGCTACCAACAACAAATAGCCTGTCTTGCCCTCTGGGGACAGCTACACCCCAAGCCACAGTGCTTCTCTCCTGCCAACCTCAGCTCTGGCCACCCCCATTTTCAAAAAGGTGCAAGCAGAGTCAAGCTGCCTGCCTGCCCACCCAGGGGTGTAGGGCAGGGTCCCACAGGGTTGGCTCTGTCTCCTCCCTCCTCGCCTGATAGTGCCTCCATCCACAGCTGTGCTGGGCAGAAAGACCCATGCAGAGGCACGTCCAGAGGCTGAGCTGGGTCACGGGATGCCTGCAGTGCCGGGCAGGGCCGGGTCAAAGGCACCGAGTCTCTGAGGAGCCTGTGGTGACGCCACTCGGGTCATTGCAGCTTACCTTTCATCTCCAAGACCGCGTGATCTGGGACATCCTTCCCCTCTTCGTCTGTGCGTTTGATTGTGCGATCTTTGAGGTCCTCGTCCGTGGGACAAATGACAATGGCTTTGCGCTGGAAGCCTTCGAATGGCCGCATTTTTCGTCTCTGGGCTGATCCATACACATTTGTCTAGAAGCAGCAGCAGGTGATGGTCATTAGGACACATGAGTTGGTTTTCAACTCAGAGATGCCAAGAGCTGACTAAAGAACACCGGTTCTCCTTCGAAGAACAGAAACCCCGGCACCTGTCCCCCTTCACCTTTCAGATTCTAGCGTGCAAGCTCAGAGAAGGGAACTCACTTGGCAAGTGGCTGCCATCAAGCTGGGACAAGGGATCCCTAAGGCTGGGGCCTGGGTTCTTTAATTTTATGTGTGTTTAGGGAAAACAAACGAAACAAAACAGACAATACATGCTCATTGTAAACGTGGTGCAGTTTACAGAGCCCCCTGAACACCCAGCTACATCCTCAACCTGTAGGGACCTTCCCATGTACACTCTGGCCACACCCACAATTTCTAGCAGAGCACAGCGTGCTCCTCCACGCCTCCATTTTCACGTCACGAAGGGTCTTTGACATCTTTCGGCACCAACTTTCTTTTTTATGGGCCATCCAAGCCCTAACGGTGCCACTAGCTGCCTACCCCCGCTCACAGACAGTGTGATAACCTCCCTGCTCTCTGACTCCTGCAGCCCTTCCCGGGAAGGCCAGTCCCCCACCGGGTTAACCAACCAGAGGGGCTGGCAAGGCAATGGCTATGCTTTTCACAAGGGCAATTTTGCTGCCAAGCTTCACGTCCTCTGGACAATCAGGCGTGTCCTGGGCAGTGAGGCAGCAGCCCCACCACGCCGGGGCCTGGCATATGTGTCTCCCTAGGTAAACTCTGGAACCAACAGAACTGGGCGATGAGGAAGCCCCGTTCACAGGATGTCTCAGTGCTTTGACCAGGACGCTGTGAAGGGGTCCGTAGAAACGGACAAAGACCGGTTACATTCTGCAGAGGCAGCAGGGCCAGATGGAAAGAGCCCAGAACCTGGTCCTAGCCTGACCGCTCCCTCTCTCGAGTCAGTCCTGACAGCTTCCTCCAGGGGCTGTCTAGACCAGAGCAGGAAGACCACAACAGCTGAAGACTGGCTGGGAGGCAGGGCTATGTGAGCACCTGGGTCCCTGGAACTGAGACCCTTTGGTCCAAGGCTAGTGACTTCGTCTGAGGATCATCCTGCTCTCCCTGAGCATCAAGTCTGTGTACAGAAGGCGCCCTGGGGGCGCAGTGCACTCTGTGTGGGGCCGCCTGCTCCTGGACAGCAGTGAGTCAGAGGGTCTGGGTGTGCAGTGCCCCGGGAAGGGAAAGCAGTGAAAAGAGTCCCACGGTCAGGTCACCCAGGAGGCAGAACTCCAAGTGCAAGTGAGGGACAGCCCTGGCTTGGCCTGGTGCCTGGCTCGCAGCCAGTACTCAACAGCTGTGTGTCACCTGCAGGGTAACGAGGAGGGAAAGGCGCCCTCGATGAACAAGGTGGTTGTGTTAGTGGTCTCCCAAACAAAAAGGCAGGGACAGGGAAGAGGTGGGGAGTCAGGAGAACACAGGCTTTGAGGAAGGAAGCCTGGGCAACATTCCAGCCGCGTCCTTGGCTGTGGGTCCGTGGACAAGTCACCTCATGAGTATCAGCCCCCCACCACCCTCCTCGGGGGTTGACGAGGGTGCACCTACATGACCATCTTAGGCGTGTGAGCCTGACCATGTGGCTGCCGCCTCAGGAGAGGCTCCAGGCAGAGGCTCTGGAAACCAACCAGGAGGGGAGAGCAAGGCACAGGGCTCTCACCCGAGACTTGAGCACCAGGGAGCTGGTGGTGGCTCAGCCAGGGCCCAGGGCCCCAGGGTCGGCCTGCTGGGAGATCTGGGTGGTGGGCACACCTGTTCTAAACCAGCCAGCTTCCGGAACTGACCCAGCACACCTACCAGGTAAAGAGGATAATGTCCTGCCCCTCCCCCAGGAAAGAGCCCCACAATCCCACGGGGCCTGGCTAGACAGGCCACATGTGACACAAGCACACATACGGTCTTACTGGGGTTCTACTGGTCCTTGAGTCACAAATAGCTTATAAAGTGCACTTGGTTTGGAGAGTCCTAAGCAACCCCACCCCCACCCCCACCCTTCCTGTACTTCCATCTTAAAGCAAAGCACAAAGTGGCATCTGGTCTTGGGACAATAGGACCTGGCTGCCTCCAGTCGAGTAAGTTTCTCCTGGCACAAAAGCTGGTGTGCGGGGGTCAGGTCATGGTGGCTCCCGTCCTGTTGCGGACAAGACAAACGGCTCTGTGCACTCCACTCCAAAGAGCAGATTCCTTCCTTCACACTGACGGGCTTAGAAGCAGCGGTTCTCAACCTGGGGGTCGAGACCCCTTTGGGGGCCGAACATCCCTTTCACAGGGGTCACCTGCTTCATAACAGTAGGAGAATGACAGTGATGAAGTAGCAACAAAAATGTTACGGTTGGGGGCATCACCGCAACATGAGGAACTGTATCAAAGAGTCGTGGCATTAGGAAGGTTGAGAACCACTGGCTTAGAGGTCCCTAAGTGGCAGCTCTTCCAGTCACGGGGAGGGACAGATGAGCAGAGGGGAAGAGAAAGCTGGGGGAACAAGGGTATGGCAGGGGTAGGGCCAGGCTTAGGGCAGGCCCTCCCTCCCTTCCCACACTTAAGGAAGAGCACCCAAACCATGCCAGCAGAAATGCAAATCTGTGTGTGGCTTTCTTGGAGCAAACAGCGCAGTCGTCATCCCATTTGGGATGGCTGTCCTGATGAGGTCCCCGAGACACAAAGGAGAGCACAGTGGGAGAAGCAGGGAGGGGATGAGAGGGGTGTTCTCCCCAAGAGCCTGGAAGCAGATGCTAAAGAGACAAGGACCCTCTCCAGAGCTGCCCCATAAATTTGGACTTCCAACCTCTTAATTGTGAGAAAATACACTTCTGTTTCCCAAAGCCTCCCCCTTGTGGTATTTGTCACAACAGCAGGAGAAAACTATGCCAGGGAGTTGGCTGCTGGTGGCTGTTGCCACAGCAAACACAGTGAGGTCACAGTCCCGGGCCAGGCCGGCCCTCCTGGGCTCACTGGGGCTGCTGCTAGGAGAGCAGCACCGCAGCCAGCTCAGTGTTTCCACTTCCCTCTGGCTGGCTCCGCCCAGCTCCACCCTCCTTGCACATGCTGACTCAAAGCAAAGGTCTGAGTGTTCTCTGTGGTCCCCAGGGGCAGTCAGTTTCTCAGCAAGTCCCAGCAAGGGGAAGCTGGACGGACCCCAGCGGGGCCACTGGACGCGGGGAGGAGAGCCTCTGGCTTAGGGTGGCAGTGAGGGGAAGCCTGACGCAACTCACAGGAACCCATGGGCAGGAAGAAGTGTGGCTGGAATGTCCAGAATGGGCTGGGCTGAGGCTCGGAGGGGTAGAGGAAACACCCACTCTTTGGGGCCTCTCCTTGAGCTTGTTCAAAGGAGTGGGCACTATCTGCTGAAGCCCTGCAGCCCTACCTCAGAGCCCTCCAGGGGGCCATGCTTGCTGCTCCCATCCTATAACCAACACTGAGGCCCCCAGATAGTCTAGGTCCATGCCAGGGGCTTTCTGGAAGCAATGGGGTCTCCTATCCCCTCTCTCCTCCAGCCAGCACTTCACTGACCAGGCAAATTCAGCTAGACTTGTGCCAGGACACAGGTGGCCACAGCTGCCCCCTATCCCAAACTTTGGGCTCAGACCCCACTCCCAGTGTCACACCTGCTCTGGGCTGTGGTCGCCTGGGGAGTCAGTAGCACATTGGCTGCGGGGCCTCTGAGCACGCTCCTGAGGTCCGAGGCCTCAGTTTCCCCTCTGGCCCACACCCGGCTCTCTTTCTGGTGCCCTGCAGGTGCCCTGCCCACATGGCCTAGGGAGGGTTCTGTGTCCTCAGGGAGTCTGCGTCAAGACCCAAACACAGCCCTCAGCGTCCCCTCAGCTCACTCAAACAGCGTCCCCTCAGCTCACTCAGAGTGTTCTGGAATCTACCTCCAGGGATGAGCCCAAAATAAGCCATGCTCCAAACTTCCTTCCGAGGCCTGTGTCAACCACAGCTTCAGCCCCAAGTGCGGCCTCGGAGCTGAGGTGCCCAGTGAGGCCCTCCCCTCAGCTCAAGCGCCAGTGGCTCCTGCCTGGTGGTACTCTCTCAGGCCGAGGATACAGCTAGTCTGAGCTAGGCGTGGGTGCCGTGGGCACAGCCCCAGTCAGACTGGGTCCAGAGCTCCACGGTTCTGTACACTTGGTCCAAACCAGCACCAAATCCAAGGGGACCGAGGGGAGACAAGAAGACAAGGCCGAGAAGGGAATCCATGTGACGGACAGAAGTACCTGATCTAGGATATAGTTGCGCTTCTTGCGGGCAGCAATCTGGATGAGGCGGTTGAGGCACTGAGTGGCCTGCTGGATCAGGACGTCCCAGCGGCCGGCGTAGTTCCGCTGCCGGCGTAGGCCCATCACCTGCAGGCAGGAGGCAGTGAGGGGTGAGTGGTCCTGGCTCAGGACTGCACTCGAGGGAGCGGGTGCGGCAAGGTGGGGCAGTTCTTACCCGCATCTTATCCATGATGGCATTGGTGCCCAGGATGTTGTACTTCTTGGAAGGGTTGGAGGCTGCATGTTTGATGGCCCATGTGGTCTTGCCGGCGGCAGGCAGGCCCACCATCATCAGAATCTACGACAACAGGCCAGGGAGAGTGCTGTGAGGCAGGGCGGCCCAACTCTCCAATGCCCCCGAGAATGACCCGAGCCTCATGACTAACGTCTCCCCCTGCACTATGGCTAAGACACAAAGGGGCGCTTGTCAGACTCAGCAGAGGGACGGCCCGAGGGAGCCCTCAGTCACACACTGGCATGCCAATCTCAGCTCAGGAGTCCGAGGTTGCCTCGAGGGAAAGGCAAGGGAGGCCATCCACTGGGGCCTGCCCACTCCAGGGCTGGGGCTGCCAAGGAGACCACCTTCCTGGGGCCCAAGAAGTGAACAGTGTGGGCGGCACAGGGACAAGTGGCAGTTATGACCGGCAGACACCAGGGCAACTCAAGCAACCCACAAAAGAAAGGCCGGGCTCTGAGACTTGTCACCAGGACATGCCACAAGGAGAGTCCACGAGCGGTCAAAGTGGACGTCACTGTGGCAAGTGACAAGGGAGGGCTCACCGAGCATGGCCACCAATTGACATGTGCTGTGTGCATGAGCCATGTAAAACCTTGCATCCAAACAGGAACGGGCTACGTTCCAGAACTCTGAAAGTCGACTTATTTGCAGATGTTAAAATCATGAAAATCTTATGTTTTCTTCGTGTTTCTCAATGTTCTTAAATAAGCACAAATTACTGCTATGTGAACATTTGTTTTAAAAGAGAAAAGGAATTGCCAGAACACCTCGCAGAGCCCAGTGGTTGCCCAGCCCCTGCTTGCTTCATTCTGAGATAGCCCCGGGAGTCCAGCGACCTCCTCCAGAGCCCTGGTGGGCAGAGCCCGTGCCTGAGGAAGACCCTTTGCCTCCTGCCCCCACTGCGGCTCTCACGGAGGAGCCCATAGCAGCCTCCTCCTGGCGTGTCTCTGCGAGGGGCCCCCAAGTCTGTCTTCCAGTCCCACTCACCTCACACTCAGCCTTGCTCTTTGGTCCGACCGTGCCCCGGATGCGCTCGCCCAACGGCAGGTGCTGGATGAAGGTGAAACCTGGCAGGACGGAGCAGTAGGGCTCCGCCCTCTGGCCAAAGTTGAACTCCACAGCACAGTTCTTCACCAGTACGTGCGGGTAGAGGGCCTGACCCGCCAAGGCTTCCTTCTGGATCCGGAAGGCAATGCCCATCCACTTTCCATTCTTGGTAAAGGAAAGTTCCACGTCATTCCCACATTCAAAGTCCTGGGAGACAAAGCCACCGGAAGGTTACTGCCCATGCTTGGTAGAAGGTGCAGGGGCCACAGTAGGAGGGGACACAAGGGAGAAGGTGAGGTGGCCGGCACAGCTCAGAGAACATCTAGCCCTAGCCCTCCTTGCCCGAGACCCTCAAAGCGGGTGGTTTGGGAAAGGAGGATGTGAGACACAAATCACCTCAAGAAGCATGAGCCCATGAGCCTGAGGCTAAGATGTGGGAAAGGGAGGTCCGGCCAGGCTGCCTGTGGGAGGAGCCCTGGTGGTGAAGTGGGTTGCGAGTTGGCCAGCAGTTTGCACCTACTAGCTGCTCCATGGGAGGACGAGGCTGTCCGCTCCCGTAGAGTCACAGCCTGGAGACCCACAGGGACTGTCCTGCAGGGCCGCTGTCAGTCCTAGTGGTTTCAGAGAGAGCTGGCCAGGGGATCAAACAGTGGGCTGAAGAAAAGTGCTAGGTGTGGCTCCACACGTTCTCCCTCCATTGGAGGCCAAATACCCACCCTTCGGTGCTTGTAGGGCGCAGCCCCTCACTTATCTCGCTAAGCAGCTGCGCAGGCTGAGACCATACTGGGCGGACACGCTGAGTCCCACACTGCACCTTCTAGCCTTGTGGGCTCCTCTAAACAAAATGCTACAGAGAGGCTTCGAGGTAGCAGTAGAGGGGCTGTGGTCCCAGCGGGCGTTGAGGCCTGGGGTCTCAGAACAGTCACTCGCCCACCAGCAACTCGTGAAGTAGCTGCAGCCTCTTGGGAGCACTAGCGTGACAGCAGCCAGCACACACTCAAAAGACACAAAACCCGATGCTCAATCACACCGAGAACTGCATTCCTTGAAAAAAACCAGCAGCGCGAGGCCACTGACTTGCACACCAAGCTGAGAAGGCAGTGTGCGCGGGCGGGCAGGGACAGCCAGCTGTGCTCAACAACCTGCGTAGAGACGACTGAACAGCAACCTCTCCTGCCCAGTCACCTTCACTGAAAACACAGTCGAAAGTTTTTTAAGAGACGAGAGAAAAGGAAACTCTAGAAGAGTTTGGCTCCGTGGGGCAGAAGCAGCCCAAATGCACAAAAGTATGCACATGTCATCCACAGACACACACAGGAACACACCGCAGCCACACACGAGCTCCCAGGTACCTAGGTAAGAATAAAGACAAGCTGTCTCTGTGGTCCTGTGTGTCCCGGCCGAGCAACAGGAACCACGACAACCACTCAGTCAGCGGTTCTCCAGGGATGGCACACGCACACACCGGCCACAGACAGTGGGGACGGACAAAGTTCTGAAGGGTGCAGAGAGAGGCAGAGCAGGCCCAGACGGGAAGGAAGATGCAGAACAGCCCCTAAGACACGCCTGCCACCTGTTATGGAGAAAGACGAGGCAGTCCCCCGGTACCCGAGGAGCCAGCGTCCGTGGCTCACTTTCAGGGGCGAGGGTGAGGGCCTGCAGACCTTCCACCAGGCCTTTTTATACGCCCTGGGACATGTGAACCTGTGAACTATTCAAAAACCGTCTCCCACAGAGTTAATGTATGCCATGCAGACATTAGCGCAGGTAAGGAGAGCAGGCTGAGGAGTCGGGGTCAGAAAAATACATTAGAACAGGCGGCAGGACATAAATATTTGTTTTTTAAAAGAGAAAATCCAGATGGGCCGAGCCGCTGTTCCAGGTGAAAGGCGACGGCCGACAACGGATGGCCACGTGGAGCCTGGAGGGACCCCACTTGCTCCACGGGACATGGGACACGGCTGGGACAAGGGACAAAATACACACGTCCATTGTGGAGTCAACAGCAGAATCAGGGCAACGTGGCCAGTCTCTGAAAACACCCCAAAATATTAGGGAAGAAAGGGGCACAGTGTATGCAACCCTCTCTCAAAATGGGTCAGAGAAAACCCTGGGTCAACCAAGGGCAGCGAATGCGGCCGACACTAGAAACTGCATCCGAGCGTGAGCCGTCCAGGTTGCAGCTTTTCAACCAAGCTAGGAACTCCTTCCAAGTAAAGGGAGACGAAAACAGGGTGTGTGTGTGTGTGTGTGTGGGGGGGGGGGGGTGTTACACACGTGCACAAATACAAGGAGCTCTGGGGGCACAGTGGTTACAGCACGCCTCAGTGGGCTGACCCCACCCAGGATGGGGTGACAGGGCGCTGTAGCTGGATGCTTCCGTAAGGACGATGCCTTGGGAACCCGATGGGCAGGTCTACCCTGCCTATTGAGTCGCCAGCAGTGGGTGGGTTTTCCGGGGTACAAAAGTAAGACGGAAAACCACCACAGGAAGCACATGTAGTCACATTTTATTTACTGAGACATTTAAAACCCATCTTCTACAACACCTAACAACGGGGACACTACCGTTTACGGCAGGTGTTCCTCTAAGTGCTTTCAACAGAGGAATGTCACGACCCCACAAGCAACCCTAAGAGACGTGAAGGTGACCCTCACACACAAGATGGAGACACAGGGAGGGTAAAAGCTGCCCAGGACAAACTGGTGGGGATTTTAACTGTAAGGCTGGTGGCTTGAATCTACCCAGAGCCAACTCCCAAGAAAGGTGTGGAGGTGTACTTCCCAAAGATCACAGCCACCGAAGGGGCACAGACCTCTGAAACAGGCATCACTGCCGCGGATCAAATCAACTCCAAAGCAACTGGCTTATCTTACTTTTGAAAAGCTACCCGGGCTCCAGAGCCGACAGCTAGAGGCCTCACACTTGTGGCTGGGCACTGCTGCAAGCCAGGGATGGAGGCCAGCAGTTCTTGCTCTGCTCTGCCCACCTGGATGAGCCTCACTCACCCATTGTGAAGCCAGAGAGGAGGTGACAACACGTGCAAAAGCCAGAGCAGAGAGGCTCGGACTTAGCGGCCGAGGGGATGGCCGAGGGCACAGGGATTGGGGAGGAAGCACCACACCTCTTAGAGGGGCCATCGGGCAGCTCACACAGAAGAGTGGAGAGGACAGATGAGCGACTTGCATAAACAGAGACTCCAGGGGCTGGATTTGGGGAAAGCAAAGGAAAGGGCAGGGGGTTCTGAACAAGGCCTACAGGTCACACCCGAGCATACCAGCATTTGGTGCTACCAATTCGTGCCGGCTACCGGCAGGACTCACCGCAAAGCAGCCAATCACATCGTTCTCTGCGAACTTGTCGCCGTAGTTTTCAAAGCGGCTGTTGGTAGATTTCTTCCCGGTGCCCCCATAGCCATAGGAAAAAGCCTCTTCACCTGCAGAGCAAACAAACAGCCACAGGGCAGGTTATACCTGCGAGGACAACGGCCACAAAAGACTCTGGCTGCCACGGGTTTTATGAGAATGTTTAAAAACAAAAGATTCACTTTCTTTGCTAGTTAAAAAAGATCATGTCTCGGACGGGCAGCAGGTCAGGAAAAGGTCTGGTGAAGTCGCCCTTTATTGCACCCACTCCAGAGTGCTTGGCGAGGAGGGGAGGGATGAGAAGGGCTGCAGGTTGTCCTTGTCACGCCGACTAACGCCACCTCATGAAGTGCCAGGAAAACAAGTCATGGGCTGAGCCTTGGGGACGGTCCTGGATTTCCTCAGGCTCTAGAACTCGGGGCTCTGAGGACTGACTGAGATCCCAAGGGACCTCGCTGACACCTGGGTTACACAGAATCTTTGGTGTCCCTGCCCCCACCTCCCACCGTGTGCCCTGGACATGCAGCCCGACTCTCCCCTGGCTTCGCGCTGCCATCAGCATCAGCTACACTTCCAAAAAGCATCAAAGATAAAATGAGATGAGAGTCTTAAAAGTGAAACGGGGCTGGTATGTATCAAAATTAAAATGTTAAACATTTTTTGACCTAGACACTTTCCCACAAACGTCTTAAACAGATAATTACACACCAGAATGGTGGCTCACATTGTTCCACAGTGAAAAATTGCGACCAGCTTAACTGATCTACAAGTAGGGACTTGCTAAATGACAGAGCTATGCAATGGAAACTTCAGCAGTGGTTAAAAAAGTATCCTTATTTACCAAAATATGCCCACAGGGTATGAAAGAGGAAAACAACAAACAAAAAGCTATGCACAGTATACAATGTAACCCCGTGACCAGTCGACCCTCAAAAACCAGAACCGGAACTCAATGCCATAGGGTGAATGTGGGCTCCCAATGGCCAGGCCCAGCAGGGTAGACTGAGTTTCTGAGACCCGTCTCTCCCAATGAGCGGCTGGGGTTTCCACTGCTGACCTTGCAGTTAGCTCAGCGCATAACCACCCCGCCACGGGCTCCTGCGACCCAGTCTAGGTAAATACACAACTCAACAACGTCCAGGATGAGCGCTGAGGAAAATGCCAGCACTGGCTATGCCAGACAGAAGCCTCCCATTTTCCCTTCCTACATGGCCTGAATGTTTACAAGGAGTAAACATTTACACAAACAAAATGTCCATATAATTAAAGCAGAAGGTGTCAGCACTGGTCACTGAGCTCAGTCACTTGGAGCCAGGAGGTCACTAAGGCTCGGGGTCCTGAGATAATTGAAATGCTGCTCCCCAAGAAAGGGCTCAGGGCACCCGCAAGGCTGTACCCTGGAGCCTGGTACTCAGGGCTCCCTCTTGCCTTTGTTCACACTCTGCACAGAGACTCCAGACTGGTCTGACGGGGTGTGAGGAACTTATTTCAGCTTGGCTGGAAGACAGGCGACAAGTGATTTAAGACATGGGCCAGTTTCCTAAAGAGAACTTGTGGGGCCCTCCTGAGAGAATACAGAATTCTTCCTAGAAGGTTGCTGACTGGCCTTGCGTGGCCTTTTGAGTCCAATGGCATCAGCCTGCAGCCATGCCAAGGCTCCTGATGACCCCTGCATCTGCCCTGCTCCAGGCTGGCTCTGTCCAGCAGTGGGGAGAAGCCGAGGAACCACAGAACCACTCTCCTCTTGGGGCTGCTAAGCGGGAAGCCCCTTACCTAGCTGGGTGCTGCAGGAGTCCAGGGACCAGCCGATGCGGACAACATGGGGGTCGGGCTCTGTCGATGGCAGGTGCTTCACCGAGATTTCCTCGTTGATCTGGGGACAGAAGAGAGGACTCATGGCTGAGTCTGGTGGCTAGTGGCTTGTATGGGATGTCAGGCAATAGAAGGTACACGGCAGCACTGATCCTTGTCGTGGGGAAGAAGCCCGTAACTTGGGTCTCCAGAGGGTTGGGCAGAGTTCCTTGCGACAGGGATGTCCCAGTATTCCCTTAGTTCTAAGAACTCATTGCAGAGGTTTGAAACAGGGACCCTCCTAGTGGCTGATAGGAAGAGAAACTGGCCTAGTGTCTTTGAAGAACCATGACACCATTGCCATGCAAACCAGCACATGCCACACAATGCAGGGAGTCTGCTGCAAGCTTATTCTGGGACATGGTCACAGCCCCGAGTTTATGTGCAGACAGACAATCAAACCCCACCACCAAGGCAGCAGCTCAATTCAGGTCTATAAGGGCACCGGCTCCACTCACCTTCATCTCGAAGCACACCCGGCCCCTCCTGACCCCGTAGCTGGCACGGGCTCCGGACCACAGATAAGCAAACCCCTCGATGGTGAGCGGGTAGCCACTGCTCCGGTCCCGGGCAACCTTAAAGTGGAGGTCGCAGTTATCTGGGGAAGAAAACGTTGAGGTTGGCTAAAGCTTTAGCGCTCCCAAGGGAGAAACAGGAAAAGAGGTCCCCAAGAGTGCAGATGAGGAGTGCACAGCAGACACACCATGGAGATGGGCTCATGGAGATTCAGCCGCACCCCTACCCATATTCTCTTGGTGCACTCGGGTTCTGGAGCAATACAACCTGGCCTGAACCGACGCAAAGCAGCCACCTCACACAGGAAAGGGGGTGAGGGGAAAGAGTCACTTGGTGGG